GCCAATGCAGCTGTGGTATTGCTCCTCTTTATTCAAACCTGTCTAAGAAAGTGGTCCAGACCTTCCTTGGCCACACCTTTAAACATCAGAGGAGAGAACTGCCACACCTCAAAAACAGTTACCCATGATTTTGGTATAAGTCTCTTATTAGCAGGTTCGTAGTCCACAATGGCCTAAAGATTTCTGTATTTATAGGTGCAGAGAAGAAGGCTGGTGTCAGGAGCCCTATACTCAGATGAGTGTTAGCTCCTGACCCCAGAGTTACGTACTATAGTGGTAGGTCTCCTATTGACCCTGCATGATCCCAGATTACTCTGCAGTCTCTGGTTGCCTTGGCAGTGTGCCTACCATCGCAGTGAGGCTCTCTACTGCCACAAAGATGATCACCCTGACACATAAGTGCCCATTGTCTCACCTGTTCGCGAAACAGCTCCTGTTGGTGAATATAGTCCATCAACAGCACCTTACGATTCTTTCTTGACTTGACAATATGCCTCCAATCATGAAGAGGCTCTCTGCTGTTCCACAGAGGACTTTCTTCACCCGTGAGTGCCTGCTGCAAAACAGCTCCTTCCCTCTCCACTAGCAGTGCTTTGTGTCCCTTTGTTATAATTGCGAGGGATACAACCAAAAATGAGGCTCTACTGTTTTGGCTGGAAAATGCCTAGTGGTCTTTCAGAGAACACCCCACTTGGTATTGAATTCACCTGGCCATGCATCAGCACGACATTCTTCAGTTCCTCATATGTTAAGGCTCAACCTCAGAGACAGAACTATTCTTGGTACCTCAAATAAGTTCACTTATTCTTCCCAGGTCAGTAACAGCAGGATGATAGCCATCAGGGACCTTTCCAGCATCTTCAAAACTCCATTATAATATGATAATCCCCCAAACCTGACCACACCTCGTCATGACTGACTCTTCCTCCAAATTATTTATCCTTCTGCTTTTGAAAAATCCACCGATTCGAAGTCTTGACACACTCACTAGAAAATGGAAGAGTACACACATTCATTCAGGTACAAGAAACCTCTGCAATGATAGTATTTATGGTAATGGCACGAAATATTTTTTCTCCCTACCTACATTGTGGTATTTTAAATTACATGGACATGTTACATAGTATGGGTAAGTTTGAAGTTCAACTTTAATCGTCAGAAACAAAAAACAATATACGAACAGCACAAGTCAAGAATATTTACTTAAAACACAATCAAAGTACAACACAAAAGAAGGGCAAGTGTCATTTCTATAACACTTCAGTCCTTCATTAATTACTTCATGTACTCTCTTATATTTTTTTATAATCTTTCCATCCTTTACTGGTGTCCCTAAATACTTCCCTTTTACTTCACTGATGTCATTTTGTCTCTTTCCTATAGTTTCCTGTTATTTTCCCTTGATTAAATTGATTTTTTCGTATGACTTGTTCTCGTGATTCGGCTTTTAAATCTTTTTCATTTTCTTCTAATTGCCCACAGTGGCTCAGCAGTAAGTTTGCAGGCATAACAAACACCTGTTTTTTATATCAGTGATGAGCAGATCACAGATAATCATTGTGTATCTTTGTGCTTAACAATAATCAGTCCAATCCAATTCTTGTAATTTTCTGTCCTTTTATTTTTGGTCTAATTTTAATAACCTGTCTCTTTCTTCCATTGTTTCATTAATTCCAGAAATCTCTGATCCTGCTTCTTTCTTATTTTTATTTATTTCCACCAAATAATCTCACTCCTGACACAAATGTATTGTTGGTCGATTCTTTTGAATTATTTGATAAGAATAAGAATTTAAAATTCACATATAAATAACAGAAGTGTATTTCTCTGACTTTAAGTTCTACAACTTAACTAAACTAACGCTCACTAATACGCCTATATAGCAATTTTAATTACTTTCTAGCTTCTTTAGGCTTTAAGCTTGGCATGGCCTGGTGCTTAGGGCGCTCAACTAGTAATATGCGTGTCACGGGTTCAAATCATGTCACTGAACATATTCACCCTTTCAGCTGTGACAGTCAATTCCGTTATTCATTGGTAAAAGAAGTACCCCAACATTTGGCGATGGGTAGTTTTGACTAGCTGCCTTATCTTTATTCAACCAGGACAGCTAGCACAGATAGCCCTCGTGTAGCTTTGCATGGAACTGGTGCTTCGTTGCATACAAAAAACTGAAATAGCTAAACGGTTGATAGCAACAAATTAATTAAACTCGGTGACTCAATAATAAATCAATCATTGCAACAGGCTCAGAAGTCAATAATCTTAATGTAACTTCTTCATATACATCTCAAATAGTTTTCTAAACTTTTCATTAAGCCACGTCTATCACGTAATGTAAAAACTCCTTATAAACAAACAATGATACAGGTATCTAAATTAAATGGTGGTTAGGGTGGTGTTGACTAGCTCCCTTCCCTCTAATCTATCACTGTTAAATTAAGGACGGTTAACGCAGATAGCCCTCGTGTAGCTTTGTGCGAAATTCAAAACAAACAAACCAAATCAAAATGAAAACATTTTCAGTAATCTCAAAGAGCCTCATCAAAACAGCTGACAGAAGTATACCAAAAGTATCAATAAACAATACTCAAACCAAATGGCAATCAAACACTGGTATAATCAACAAAATAAAAGAACGAAGGAGATTAAGACGAGAATATAAGACAACCGGTGACCCACAAACATAAAGGCAAATAAATATGCTCAGAAACAAAATTAGAAACGACATTAAGCTACTAAAATCACAAAAATTGGACACCTTCTGACACAAATAAACTAAGCACACTCAACACAATAACTTAACAACAGAAGCGGAACACGACTACACAACAAAACTTATCAGACCCATCAACGTAGTAGAAGTACAAGAAAACATAAAACTTTTAAAAAACAGTGCACCAGGACAGGACAAAATTCAAAACACATTACTCAAGAAAGGCCCTCTGAGATTATTAGAACATCTCCCATCTTTATACAACTTATCTCTAAAAACAGGATACATACCAACAGGCCGATGTTTTTATGTTCCAGAAGGAAGGTAAACAGTAAATAACCTTGAACATTACAGGCCCATAAGTCTAACAAGCAATCTAGAACAATTACTTGAAGAACTCATAAATAGTAGACTCATAAATTACCTTGAAACTAAATCAATACTCCCAGAAATACAAAATGGCTTCCGAAAAGCAAGTCAAACAACAGATCATCTCATAAAATTAACGGAAGAAATAATACAGTCTCATGCTTCCTAGATGTTGGAAAAACATTAGGTAAGGTATGAAATCAGGTATAATCTCTCCAAACTGCGACTCCCCGTAGAAATTATTCATTGAGTTTCTAACTTCCTGGAAGCTAGGTGCATGAGAGTAAATGTTGAAGGCGCCTACTCCGAGTGCTGCACTCCGGAGGAGGGTGTCTCCCAAGGAGGAGTACTTAGCTCTACCCTATTTATCATGTATGTCAGTGACATGCCTCCCAAAGACCCAAACCACACTTTTTGCTCACAGTTCGCAGATGGTGTTGCAATCTGGAAGAGTGCCCCAAATCCAACAACAACATACAATATATAACCACTATTGAACGAAATAGAATTGTACTGTAATAAGTGGAGAATTAAAATTAATGCGCACAAAACACAACTCATATTATTTACAAAATCATACAAAACAAGCGAATTGAGATTACAGTTATATCTAGACTGTACTCTCTTACAGGTAGCAACATCAACAACATTCTTAGGATTACATTTGACTCAAAATTAAACTGGATACCACATATTAATATCATCTAGAGTCCCACGATATCAACAAACTCGGTATTTCTACACAACTATTCAAACATGCCAGCTCTATCAGACAGACTCTTGGATAACTCGCTTCAATATTATAAGAAAAATATTAATAAAAATGAACTGATGAGCAAGCTCTAATTACCTCTCCCCTCTAAACATCATAAATAAGAATCTTACAGGCCAAACAGTGCTAGGCTAACTAAATCCTAGAGACAACCGTAACTTTATTTTAAAAGGGTTTTGTATGTACAAATAGGATTATGTGTGTGTGTGTATATATATGACTGCTAAGTGGAACCGTATTGTGAACGCTGACTAATAGTGCGATCATACATAAGTGAAGCCAGTAAAAGTAAACAAGTTAATATTACCCCATGAATTGGACGTGGTACGAAGAGGATATGTTAATTAAACTGCAGACAATGGACAAAATGTAACATATTGTGAATAATACAACAACAAAGTAACAAGGGTTATTATCTAGGACTCAGTAAAAGTGCTAACAAAATAACAATTTGTGAGAGGGAGAAAGAGGTCTACGACGAACCTGACCCTTCCTGGTCCAAAACATGAAAACACATTACAACTTAATTCAATTTAACTCATAATTCATCTAAGAATATATATATTGCGTTACACTGAACAAATTCAAGACAAACAAATTAAACAAAACAAATCCTAAGTTTAAAAACAATAATAGTTAGAAAAAAATAGTAACAGTGGAGAAAAAAACCAATAAGAACAACAAAAAATAGTAATAGCAGAAGAAAAACAATTAATAGAGAAGAACAAAGAGTTGTAATAGCTCGGAACAAAAACAATCTAGATTAGAGGTAGTTGACAAAAAACAGTGAGAAAACAAAGATATCGGAAGAGAACAGCGAGAAGATTGGTTTGAATTTCGCACAAAGTTACACGAGGGCTATCTGCACTAGTCGTCCCTAATTTAACAGTGAAACACCAGAGGGAAGGCAGCTAGTGATTACCACCCACCCTCAACTCTTGGGCTACTCTTTTACCAACGAATACTGTCACATTATAACGCCCCCACAGCTGAAAGGGTGAGCATATTTGGTGGGACGGGGATTCGAATCCGCGACCCTCAGATTGCGAGTCAAGCGTCCTAACCACTTGGCCATGCCGGGCCCAGTGAAAAGAACAAATAGTAATAATAGTAATATAATAGTAAATCAAATATCTTTCTTACCTATGCTGTATTTCTTGGTACAGTTGGTGAATTTATGGCCCTTGAAGTCGAACTGCGGATGCAGCAAGTTGTTAGTTATTTGAAACTCTTTCCACAACAGAATCACACTGTCAGTTGTATACTGGACTGTTTCACGAATAAAAATACAAAAACATCAACAAATACATGTATTTTTATATCTATACCAGTGTGGTAAAGGCTTATATTTTTGGCCGATTTATTTTCTTATTCGGTGAACAGAGTGAAAAGTCCAGTCCGGGTAACAATAATTCCAGAACTCTCTCTAACAGACGAACTGGTTAAATCATACAGTGGTTACTCTTTAACTGACTCAAGAATCCGTTAACACTCTAGCCTAACTTGCTTTTCACATATGATTCAAATTGTTTCTAAACTCTAGAGAAAATTCCAGTCATTAAAGCCACGTTCATCACGCTACGTTAAACTTCCCTTCAGGTAAACAACAATACAAATTTCTAGGAACGTCTAGATTAAAACTATATGTGTAATTCCATCTTTGAAAAACTGTATGTTAAACATTACATCGGTCGAGTACTTACGGCTCATGACTTCGATACCACATTCTTGCACATCGTGAGGGTAAGATCCCAAGTTCATCTCGCAGCTCAAACTGAGAGACATTCTGGAAAATGAAAACAAGCCTGAAGAACGATGCGTGTTTTTTCATTATTTATAGAAGAGATTTTATTATAATTGTGGCTTAACAAATTGGTGTTATATTACTTTAAACTGGGTTTAAAATTGTATTTTAGAGTAATTTTATTTATCCTTTTTTTTGCTTTGAGTACAAATGTTTAATATCTTCATTGTTTTAGGGAAGGCTTAATATTTTTATTGTTTTAAGGAAGGTTTCATATCTTTATTGTTTCAGGGAAGGTTTAATATATTTATTGTTTCAGGGAATGTTTCATATCTTCATTGTTTTGGGGAAGGTTTCACATCTTCATTGTTTTAGGGAAAGTTTCACATCTTCATTGTTTTAGGGAGGGTTTCATATATTTTTTTATTTCAGGGAAGGTTTCATATCTTCATTGTTTCAGAGAAGGTTTCATATTATTTTTATTTCAGGGAAGGTTTAATATATTTATTGTTTCAGGGAAGGTTTGATATCTTCATTGTTTTAGGGAAGGTTTTACATCTTCATTGTTTTAGGGAAGGTTTAATATATTTATTGATTCAGGGAAGGTTTGATATCTTCATTGTTTTAGGGAAGGTTTGATATCTTTATTGTTTCAGGGAAGGTTGAATATCCCTATTGTCTCAGGGAAAGTTTCATATCTTCATTGTTTTACGGAAGGTTTAATATCTTTATTGTTTCAGGGAAGGTTTCATATCTTCGTTGTTTTAGATAAGGTTTTACGTCTTCATTGTTTTAGGGAAGGTTTAATATCTTTATTGTTTCAGGGAAGGTTTGATATCTTCATTGTTTTAGGGAAGGTTTGATATCTTTATTGTTTCAGGGAAGGTTAAATATCCCTACTGTTTCAGGGAAAGTTTCATATCTTCATTGTATTAGGGAAGGTTTAATATCTTTATTGTTTTAGGAAAGGTTTCCATCTTCATTGTTTTAGAGAAGGTTTTATATATTTTTTATTTCAGGGAAGGTTTAATATCTTTATTGTTTCAGGGAAGGTTTGATATCTTCATTGTTTTAGATAAGGTTTTACATCTTCATTGTTTTAGGGAAGGTTTAATATTTTTATTGTTTCAGGGAAGGTTTGATATCTTCATTTTTTTAGGGAAGGTTTGATATCTTTATTGTTTCAGGGTAGGTTGAATATCCCTACTGTTTCAGGGAAAGTTTCATATCTTCATTGTTTTAGGGAAGGTTTAATATCTTCATTGTTTCAGGAAAGGTTTAATATCTTTATTATGTCAGGAAAGGTTTGATATCTTCATTATTTTAGGAAAGGTTTGATATCTTCATTATTTTAAGAGTGTTGTATTATCTTCATTGTTTTTGAATTGTCTTAATGAAAACTAGTGGATAAGAGCAAACAAATTGAACTTAGACGACATTATGGATAAAATATCCAAAATCATATGTCATTATAGCGATAAAAGCGACACATAAAATAAATTACTCAACAATCGTGGATCAGTATAGAGATTAATAGATACATAAAATAAATTATACAACAACTGTATGTCAGTTCAAAGGTTAAGATGTCACGTGAAAGACATTAACCAACAATAGTTTGTGTGTGTGTCAGTACAAAGATTAAGATGACATATAAAAGAAGTTACTCAACAATCTTGGGTCAGTAAAGAGATTAATAGACAAATAAAATAAATTATACAACAACTTTATGTCAGTTCAAAGGTTAAGATGACATGTGAAAAAAAGTACTTAACAAACACTTATCAACACAGAGATTAATAAAAATGCATTTTGCGTTCTTCTTAAATACAGCAGGCTATATTTTCTAAACAAAGATATTAACTTGCCGTTGCTCGTCAACATCTTTACGTCGTTCCCAAAGCCAGTTTTTTTATCAAAATTATTTAGGAAAGTATAAATACAAACTTTGCGAATGAAGTGCTTTTGTCACAATAAAAAGGAAAAGCTGTGCCACACTAATGAGCTTACAGCAGAGAGGAAGTTTTGTGTCACAACAAATAACTTACTTGGTCATAGAAATTAACTTACAATAAGCAGGAATTGTTTGTGTCATATTAAAATCTTACAGCAGACCATTTTGTAGTACTCAAACTGGGCACTTTGCTGAGATTTAAAATATCCATGTATCATCTTACATGTGAGCAATATGCTGTATCATATGACTTCTGGTGACAAATTAGCCAAATAAGAACAGTCCCATATTATTACTTATGACTCACCTCGCAGCAAAGAAAATTTCGCTATTGTTATAAAGTACCATGTAAGAATAAGGATTAATAATAGTGTGAACGTTTCCTTCTATGGAGTTCTTGAAATATGTGTCTGGCGTCCAGAGGTCGCTTCGCCATCTGTTGTCAAGAATAACTTTGTTGTCAGGGTAGTTGTTGGTAGCGGTGGAGTTCAGTCGATGATCCTTCCAAAACTGATGATAAAATATGTCTGCTTGGTAGACCTGTAAAATTTCTCGTGTCATGAGCTGCTTTAATGCAAGTATTTTCAAACACCCAGTCTGCGAATTAGAGAAACATATTTGGTGGGTAATTTTTCTGTTATTAACTTTGAATAGAGATTTGGACTGCTTGGGATATCTGGAATATGAAATTCCACCAGCATGGCCCAATTTGCACTGGTTTCCTGACTATGAGGGAATAAAGCCGTCATCCAGAATCTTACACACAATACAGTAGTGGCTTCACATGTTGCACAACACAAGATCTGGCTCTTCAGCTCTATAAAACCGTTTGCCTCGTAATTTCAACGAGGTATGCCACATAGATGACCGAGAAAGGCTCAATACAGCTTACTTGCTGATGTAAGAAGACTAAGTGCGATACGTGCCGGAAGTGAACACTTCTACTGTTTTGTGAACGAGGATCACACTTCGGTATCTTTTGGAAGTAGCATGTGAGTTTTTAAGGATAACAGATCAAGCCCTTTGTCGGAGTATATTCACTTTTGTTCTTACTGAATAACCAAAAATGTGACATCCCTCTGTAGCCCATCCGATCCCCCAAATCCGGTCTCATCCACTCGTAGACTGGGTGCTAATCAATTATTTACATGTGATTATTGTTCTTGTAAGTATTAACAAAATTAAGCACCGATGCACATTAAATATAACTAAAAATTTCGAAGAACAAAGATGTAAGATGTACTAGTGAAGGCAGAGTCAACATTAAAGAACAAAACAATGACTATAACGATGTATATTTTACTCACAAAACTAGAGAAAGTAAGAGTAAAATAAATGTACTTAATTTTCAACTCCAAATCATAAAATCACATCTATAAAGTAAATTTAATATTAAAAACTAACATAAACAGCACCATAACCGAGAATGTTATCAGCAGGAAGCAATGGTAGGAAAACACGAAACAAATAAGGAATAATGTAACATGTTGAGAAAAAAAGATTATATTTTCCAGAGAAAAAAAAGTTTTTTAAAACAGAAATCTACTCTTTCTTAATTCTTTCTCTAAAAAGCACTACACTTTATGAAACTAGATATTTTTGCACTCTACCAAAAACTATTCTTTCTTCGTTCTTCCTCTAAAGAGTACTACACTTTATGAAACTATATATTTCTAGAGTTGCTACTACAAACTCTGGATAAATAGACATTACTGCACTCTACCTTTAAAGAGTTGTTACTACAGACTTTAGAAAAATTAACATTACTACGCTCTATCTTTAAAGAGTTGCTACTACAAACACTAGAGAAATAAACATAACTGCACTCTACCTGTAAATACTTGCTACTATAAATTCTCAAGAAATAGGCATTACTACACTCTACCTTTAAAGAGTTGCTACTACAAACTCTAGAGAAGTAGACATTACAACACTCTATCAAAATATATTCTTTCTTCGTCCGTCTTTAAAGAGTAATTACTACATTTCTAGAAACTAGACGTTACTGCAGTCTACAAAAACCTGCTTTTACTTCAATCTCCCTTTAAAAATTTGTTACCTCAGTCTCTTAGAGCCAGAAGTTTTTACACTCTCCCGATATAGAATTGTAACTGCAGTTACTAACACTAGATTTGCTTTCCAACATTGACGTACTAAACACACATTAATTAAAAGTTAGCTAAAGATTAATACAGACCAGCTTTGTTACTGTACATTAAATCGGTTCCATTTATTTAAATATTACACTGCATATCACACAAAACTATAAGGTTATAAAACATTATTACTGACAATATGCTTGGTTTAAAGATGTAATAACTTTTGTTTCCTGGACGTTGCTAGTGCTCTAATTCTGCTGGAGATTTTAGTATCGTGTTATCATTAGTTGATACTAACTCAATCAAGTTATGATGGATAACAAGAAAAGGGAATTCACAGAGGAAAATACATTTATGTGTGGTACAGGTGAGATATGATATATATCACATTCTGCTGATGAACCTTCGGATTAAAAACAGCAGAGCTCTTCAGCGGTAAGTCTGAAGGCTCATAAAGCTAAAAACCGGGTTTCGATACCTGTGGTCGGCACAGAACGTACAGTTCATTATTTAGCTTTTCGCTTAGCAAACAAACAAACAAAAAATTAATTGACGCAGACAAAATGGAATAATTAATTTAATATATACAGAATGAAAACGATAAAACTCTGTTAAATATTTGCTTGTTTGTTAATTTCCGGTGGAAATTATTTTCGAAGAACTTCAGTGATACATGTCCTTTTTTGATTAAACCAGTTTATTCTTTCTCGATACAAACATTTAGTACACGGTAGTTCCACAATCAGTACGTTTCTCGTCACTTTCAACTTAACAACTTTTATAATACACGCTATAAATCACAGCGATTCACAATCTCGATAACTTTGCCCTCGACGAGTACAAAACACACACTTTATATATTACCCGAAAAACCGTAACTACTGTTCGCTTAACTATCATACATTCATCATCGTTACGCTGTCTTTTCTCGCCACTTATATACTAACAAAGAGGCGTCTCGATCACACTCAAGCTTCCCCGATAATTCGAGAAACTCGGTCACGCATGCGCTAGCAGCGTCACGTGACTTCCGCTGTCGTAACAACTCTAAATACTGGCGTTAATTACTAGCTTTGCAATATAAATCCTTTTCAACCTTATAATTTAAGCCAAACCTAAATTGTGAATTTCTATTAGTTTTAATCTTGTTTCATTTTCCAAAATATTTGTACATCAAAAGACCTGTTCTATAATATTGTTACGTCTCTGTTCGTTTGTTAATTACCCGTAAAAATTCTTTCCGAAGAACTTCAGTGATACAAGTCCTTTCTTAATTAAAACTAATTTATTCTTTCTCAATACAACTTTGCAATACACTTAATTTCCACAGTCACTTTAACCTAAACAAATGCTATAATTCACAATGATTTACACACTTTACTTA